TTTAATGTAGAAGCTGCAAGGTCCTGTGTAATCCTGACTGTGGTTCCATGATATTTAAATTGTTTCTTTCTGGCTACTTGCAGTATTTTCTCTTTCACCTGGTAATTTTGGAATTTGGCTACTATATTCCTTGGCATTTTCAATTTAGGATCTCTTTCAGGAGATGATCGGTGGATTCTTTCTATGGCTATTTTACCCTCTGGTTCTAGGACCTCAAGGCAGTTTTCCTTTATGATTTCCTGAAAGATACTGTCCAGGTTCTTTTTTTCTTCGTGATTTTCAGTTAGACCAATAAATTTTAAATTGTCTCTCCTGGATCAATTTTCCAGGTCAGTTGTTTTACCAATGAGATATTTTACATTTTCATCTATTTTTTCATTCTTTTGTTTTTGTTTGACTGAATCTTGCTCTCTCATAGTCATTAGCTTCCATTTGTTCAGTTCTAATTTTTAACAAATTGTTTTCTTCTATTAGATTTTGTACCTCCTTCCCCATTTGGCCAATCGTATTTTTTAGGGACTTGTTTCCTTCAGTGTACTTTTTTTCCATTTGGCCAATCGTATTTTTTAAGGACTTGTTTTCTACAGTTAATTTTTGTCCTTCCTTTTCCAAGCTATTGACTCTCTCTTGCATACCTCTCATTTCTTTTCCCATTTTTTCTTCTACCTTTCTCATTTGACTTTTAAAATCCTTCTTGAGCTCTTCTAAGAAGACTTTTTGGGCTTCAGACCAGTTCATATTCCCTTTTGAGATTCCAGATGTGGGTTTGTTGACAATGTTGTCCTGTTCAGAATTTCTGCCTTGATCTTCACTCTTCCAATAATAAGAATCTATCATATGTTTCTTTTTTGCTCATGGTGTTTGCTTATTTCCTGGCCTTTAAAGAGATTGGGCTCTCCTGCTGGGGAGCAGAGGGCACTGACCCAAGCTTCTTGTGTTGGGAGCCTAGGGCCTGGTTGATGGCTTTGTGTGCTGGGGCCTCCAATGTTGGCAGTTGGAGGCTGTAGGATTCTGGCTGCTTACCTGGTGTTGGGCTCGAAACAATACTGGAACTCTAGGGGTAGGATTGGGTAGTGTGGCTCCTGGAGATTTCCTGCTCATCCAGGCCTTTCCTTCCTTTTGCTTTCTTCAGCTCTTTTCAGGTGTATGTTGTAGGGTGTTTATCTGCCTGGGGCCCCTTGGAGCACTGCTTCCCTTAGTTTTGCTGAGGCACTGGGAGAGCTGGTTCCTGTAGAATGTTGAGGCACCTGGTGGTTTTCTGAGCTGGTTTCCACTGGTTCCCCTGCCCTCAATGAGGCACTCAGGGTGCAGGTGTTTGTTAGTGTTTGTCTGCTCCACCACCTGGGCTTCAGGATCTCCTCCTGGTATGGTGAGGTGGGGCTTTCCACTAGCTTGCTGGGATGCCTCCCATTCTGTACTGCTCCCCTTCCCCCAGGGTAAAAGGGGCCTTTCCAGTTAATCCCTCAAGCTACCTGGGCTACTGGACTCCTGCTCCCCATCTTTCTTCTGGTTCAGTTGTTCCAGGGTTTTTCCTGGGGTGATATTTTCTGGGCTTTCAGGGGTTAATAAAGGAGAGTAAGCCAGTGATTCTTTTAGAAGAGACACCATGTATATAAGTTATTAAATAACTATATGCAAAATATATACGTAATAAATACAAGATAAAATTTGTGGAGTTGGGAGATGGAGTATTATATTCCAGCAAGACTTATTTGACTGTTCTATAGAGTATACTAAGCTTGGGGAAGCAGGCTGAGATTAGGTTGTGAAATACTTTAAAAGTTAACCCAGAAATCTTATATTTTATTCAAATAAAAGCTATTTGCTTGATCATGAACGTGATCATAACCTACACTTAAGAAAACACCTTGGATGATTTGTGGCTAGTGGAATGGACGAGTGAGACTTGAGGAATACTTGAGTGAGCCTATCATAGTGATTTTGGGAAGAGTTATTAAGGGCTTGATGTGAATAGAGAACTGGAGATAGCTGCAAGAGATACTGTGCAGGTAGAAGTGATAGATTTTGACGTCACTATAGCTGTTGGACTTTTTTTTTAAACAAAGGCAAGAAACATTTTAGTAAACTATACTAAAGCCATGTTTTCTGATACTGTTATTGAGTTTAATCTATATAGTATGTATATAGTATAGTATATTAGTATGCTAATAAAATAATATAGTATAGTAGTATATAGATTTTTATGAAAATAATTTAAAATGCTTTATAGTAGTTGCAAGTTTCCTTGTCAAGAAAATGTTATATGTGGGGAATTTGGCTACTTCATTTGGTAAAAATATCAACATTTGGATGATTAAGAAAAAAGTTTTTTAAGTTTTCAAAATGGACAGTAATATTACAAAGGCAATTCTAATGATACTTTGCTGCATTTAAAATCATTTTCTATTTAAGATTCAGCAATAGACTAGATAATGTGGGTTGAAGGAGAATGAGGGGTCAAAGATGATGCTGGGGGTTGCAAACGTAGGTGACTAGAAGGACTCAGCAGAGATCAATAAGTTCAGAATTAGAGTATGTTCAGGGAGTCCAGAGTTCAGTTGAATTCATGTTGAGATTGTGATGCCCTTGGGACTTGTATTTTGAAATAAACAGAAGATAGAAATGCATAACGGTCTCACAAGAGAGAATTGCTATGGATGTAGATCTAGTAGTAATTTGCATAAAGATGATCATTAAACTCATGAGAGCTGATGAAGTCACCAGGTGTAAGAGTATAGAAATATTTAAAGGGGGCTCATGATATAGCTGTGACTTACACCCATAGTTAGGGAGCATGAATCAGACAGGGAAGAGCAGAACCAAGAGAAAGCAGTGTCAGGAAAATGCATGGAATAGAGAAGTCAACAGTGCTAAACATTGCAGAGAGGTCAGGAAGGATTGAGAAGAAAGCCACAGCATTGGCTCTTAAGAGATCATTGGCAACTTTGAAGAGAACTGTTTCAGTTGAACTGTGATTTTGAAGATTATAAATAGTTGAGAAGTTAGTGAGATAAGAGAAAGTGGAAGCAACTGTAAATTACTTTTTCTAGGTGTTTGGATGCAAAAGGGAAGAAAGTGATAGGATAATAGTTCGAGAGGAATGGTAGAGTCTAGTCAGGTGTTTTTCAGGATGTGTGTTGGTAATTAGCAGAGAAGGAACCAGAAAGATATTCAAGATTACAGAGAAGGATTTATTGTGGAATCAGTCTGATAGAGATAATAGGAAGGGTTGGAATAGGTATATATGTGTGTGTATGTATATATGTATATTATATATTATATATAATGTATATATGTGTATATATGTATATGTATGTATATGTATATATGTGTATATATGTGTGTGTATATGTGACATATGTGTGTAGAGAGAGAGAAAGAGAGAGAGAGAGATTAATTATCCTTGCTGAGTAAAAGGGTCACCTTTTTATCAGAGGTTAGAATGAAAGAAATAAACTTGAGGAGTAAATGTAGAAAAGGGCACAATAAGGAGATTATGAGAAATGTGTTTGTTTTCTTAGTAATGTATGAGGTGAGCTTCTCATTTGAGGGAGAGGAGAGAAGGAATGGTATGGGAGTCTTGAGAAGGGAAGAGAAAACCTGAAATTTGCCTCTGGGGAATAGAATAGAGAAACAATTTAGGGAGAAGTTAAAGATTTCTTTACTATAGTGTGTGCCCAGTTGAAGCTAAGTAATATAAATTTGTAATGTACCAGAGTCAATCCATTTGCATGATTTCCTCCAGCTTCATTCCTTCATTCAGTATCAATTAAGTAGGGATAAAGGATGAAAACAGTGTGTGTAATCCTAGGTTGGAATTCATCCTAATCATTTTTTATTAGCTAATTTTTCCTAATAATTTTCTGTAGAAAAAAGTTTTAAAGTTAGATGCATTTGATACGAGAAAGTATCATAAAACAATTTATATTGTGCATTTTCAGTGGAAATAAATGCAGATTGATACTGTTTCCTTAAATTTTATCCCTTTAATCTGTTTTTCATGTTGGTAAGATTCATTTAAGGCAATGCATTTTTAATTAAATAAATATTTTACCATTTTCTTTTATTAAATTTTCTGATGCTGAAATAATGTGATTTTGGAAAGAGTAAGACATTCTTTATTAACTCATTTATATCTACAATACTTTTATTGCCAAATTTGTCATGATAAGCTAAATTCATATTCTATGTTGAGTATTGATAAATTCAAATAAAACATTATTTCACAATTGTAGACTGATTTTGAAATGTTTTAGGATGAATTTATACTAAATATGCTTTTATTTTGTGTGTATAACTTTTATCTTTGTATTGACTCCCTTAAAAGTCTAAAGATAGGTATCTACATAAAAAGAAAACAAAGACGCATTTAATCATATTTGGCCTTGGCTTTGAAGGATATTGACCAAAAATTTGTTATTAATTTTCTGGGTTTTTTGTTTGTTTGTTTGTTTTTTAATATAAAATAGTGCTATACAGAAGCATAGATTAAAATTAATTTCCAGAAAAGTGATTAATGTAAGCATAAATATGTACTGTGATTGTACAGATGATGGATCTAATCCGGATATAACATGCTATATGAAAAATATTATTTGCACAAGCATATTTTGGATTAAAAACAATATGATTTCACTTTGTTAAATCAAGTTATTGCCTATATTATGGTAGTTTGTGTTCATCTTTAAAATTTTTTTGATGAATATCATAGAATACAACTAAGTAATTAAGAAAACTTGGCATGTAATAAAAATATTGAATAAAAATCTAATTAAGATGGTAAATTATGCAACTAATTTGTTGAAACTGATATATTTTAAACAGCTATTAGGAAAAATTATATGCCTAGAACAGAATATTATATTCATTCATTAATTTATCAATGTATTTTTTGAGTCTCGAATAACATCAAATGTTTTAAATAATGTTTGCATTATCTTTTTAATTGCCATATGAATTTTCAGTTCTTTCTATATACATATTTTAAATATTTTTTTCAGCTACCTTCCATGGTTTGAAGTGTACTACAAGCTTTTAAATACTTTGGCAGATTATTTGGCTAAGGAACTGGTAAGCAATCCTTTTTTTGGGGGGGAGTGTTTAAAATAAAGTTTTATGTTCAAAATGATTCAGTAACAGCAGCATTAACTGTTCTATTTGGATGGAGAAAGGAGAAAATTTCTCCTTTTCACTGTCATTTCTAGTAAGTGAGAATTCATAGATAAATTTTATTGGCTCAGGGTTAGTCCATTGCTGCTTTACTTCTTTGTCCCTTAAGATGAAAGCAAACTGCTTGCAGCATTTAATTTAAATAACAAATCAACAAAATTCATATTTTTCTGAGCAGTGCATCATTCTCCAGGATAATGAAGCAATAGATTTACTTGGTCTTTATCTCATTAGTTTTAACATTGCCCGTTGCTTTATATAGTTGTATAAAAAAAAAAGACAGTGACCAGCCAGATCTTTTCAGATTAAAATGCTTGAAGATGATATTTTCTGACATTTGGTAAAATATAAAATTTTTGATGGGATATTCTGACATAGACAAGTTTAACTATTGTGATTAAGTTGCTACATATGCCTGGAGAATAAATAATTAGATGAATTTTCCCAATTAATTTTTTCTTTTTCATAGAAGCACAAAGTGGTTGCTTTTATTTGTTTTGCCTTGTTTAGATTCTTAAACTTCAAATCTTCTGTTCTGAAATGTTGAGCTTTAAACTGTTGTTATTTGAATGGCAGATGATAACTTTTGTATCATCAAACTGACTATCTTTACAGTTTTCCAGTTTTATCAGTGAGAAGTTGGTTTCAAAAGTGTACTATTAACATTTTTCTAGGTTTGTAGCTTTTTTCCAAGTATAGTTTTTTCCCCAACGAATAGTTTTTTCCAGTCTTTATATAAACTTGAACAAACTACCACATCTATCCTAATTTCTTCCCCTCCTTTCCATTCTCATATAATGACAACAATAATAATTATTATTTTGAGTTATCGGAAGTAAATTTCACTAAACTGAAAAAAGATGGCAAGTACTTCTTTTATAGGATTTGATTTTAGATGAAGCTATTGACTGTATCTCTTTTCAAGGGCTTTTGACTCAAAACGAGTGTCTGAAGTTACTTTAAAAATATTGGACAAGTTGGGTGTGGTGGCGACGCATGCTTGAAATCCCAGCTATCAGGGAGGCTAAGGCTAGTAGATTACTCAAGCACTAGTGTTCAGAGCTGCAGTAGGCTTTGTCAATCAGGTGTCCTCACTGTTATGATATCAGTATGGTGAGTATCTGGGGAGGTGACCAGATTGCCGATTGAAGGGTAAACTGATGCACATTGTAAGAAGCAGGTTAGAGCTTCTGTACTCATCAGTACTGATATGGTACCCCCACTCATGAATGAGTCCCTGTACTTCTAGTGAGTTCTGGAAACCCAATCTTAAAAATAAATAAGTAAATAAAATATCTGGCTTATTCCCTGCCCCTGCCACAACATTTTTAAATAATATATAGAATACATCAGTGAGATAAATTATAATAATTATGTTCTAGGACCCCTCTTCTCCCATTTAATAATTTAAGAAATCATACAAATGGTTATGTGCATTTTAGGGGACAAAACTACTTGAGAGATTGATTTACAGAAATCCATAAATATATAAAATAGCTAAACAGGAAAAATCTTTAGATAAGGATATTATGAAAGAATACCCATCTTCTGGCACTAATAATATCCAAGGAGGAAATTCACAGAGTGCATGTTATTGTTGTTGTTCAGTCATGTCTGACTCTTTATGACCCTTCATGATCTTGTCAAAGATACTGAAATAGTTTGCCATTTCCTTCTCCAGTGGATTAAGGCAAATGGAGATTAAGTGACTTGCTCAGGATCACACAGCTAGTGAATATCTGACATCAGATTTGAACTCAGGTCTTTCTGACTCTGGGTCCAGTGCTCTATCCACTGAGTCACCTAGCTGCCTCCAGAGTTTATAACAATAAATAAACCAAAAGTCATCTCTATTTGACTTGTATTTGCTTACTTTTTTTGAAAACAGAATAATAATAATATAATTAAATTAATGTTAAACTTAGTTTGAATCCTCTTATCACAAATTAACTGCAAATATGGATTGTGCTATTTCCAAAGCATGTTGAGTACTCGACCTGAAATTTAAAATTTCCCATAAATAATTACTTGTTGTGTAACTTCCTCACCGATAATTGAGAGATGATGATATTTGGCTCTTTTTATCTAGGATTTAGTGGACATTGTACTGGCTATGTGACGTGCAAAAATCACTTTATCTCTCTCAGGTCTCTGAACAACTCTAAAACTCTTAAGTTGTAGAGAAGTTGCCTACTTACGTTGTTCCAGAGAATTTCCTCACCTGGGAGTTTACCATGCTAGTGAAATCACAAGACTAGTCCCTCTCATCTACCCCTTAGTTGAATTATAGTTTTCAAAATTAAGGTCACAGTTAAATCAAAGAGAAAGGAACAAAATACTTAATAATGACCCCAAATTTACTAGTCAAATGCCTTAAGGTTAAAGTACACACTGGTACAGTATATACAGTACACTGTTAAAAATTTTTCATCTACAAATTTTTATGCTTATGTTCCAAAGTCATTTATGTTCCAAAGAAAATCCTCAGAAACAATATGTCAATAGTTGCAATGAATGTTTTAGGAAACATAGAAGTGGAGCTTAGAATTATATTTCTTTGATTATTTCATAAAATTTATTTTTGTTTACCTACATATAGAATTAGAATTATTCATATAAATTCTGAATGATTTAATTCTATTCCTTATTTCATATTTACAAATTAATAGTTGTCCAAGTATCATATGTCATGCTATGAGGTTGATAAATTCAATCTCTGGAATATTAAAATATTTAGCAAATTTCTATTTAGGTTTGTTGTTGAAGCTATACTTTTTTGTTAAGTTGTTTTTATATCCTCAAATATATCTTATATTTCATGGTTAACAATAATATAAATTGATGTTATCAAGAAAATTGGCCCTTTCTTACCTCTAGGAAAACAATTTTTTAATCATTTAAAAATGAAACAAACACATAATTTTTCAGTGTCAGTGTGTATGCAAACAGTCATATGCACAGTAATAATATTATAATCCATCATGGTGAAAACAAACTTAGCAAGAAAATTATGCAAATCATGCACTGTTTTCTATAATATTCTATAAACTCATTGAATGATTAATCATAAAATGTCTTGGCTGCAAATTAACTTTTTCAGGTGTAATCAGTGTCATAAATTCATAAAAATATATGCTTCTAGAGTCACCCTTTATGACTCAGTTTAGGTAACTGTGGATTGTTAAAGTCAAGAGAAAACACATAATCAGCTATATTCTTAGAAGTGACACAGTGTAGTAGAAACATAGGGCATAGGGAATAGAGTAGAGTTAAGATAAGGATGTGGATTAAAAGTGACAGATAAGTCACTTAACATCACTAAGGAACAATTTTAGGATTTGTAAAATGGGGATAATATCTATTATGCTGCTTCGTAGGTTACAAATGACATAAGTATTATAAAGTTTTTTGCCACCCTAAATTGATATATATTAATAATAATAGAAAGAGTTAACTCATCTATAAAATGTTAAAATAATATTTTCACTACTTAACTCCCAGGTTTTTGAGGAAACTGCTTTGTAAATATAAAGTACTAGAGAAATGTGAGCAATTATTATTATTCTAATTTCTTCAAAAGCTCCTATTGCATTCCCCCAAATGCCTAGTACTCCTCTGCCTTTTTAATTATGTAGTATCTTAGTTAAAGAAAATTTTAAAACAAAGAATAGCAAATTAAAAAAATAAAATAAATATAAAAGTTGTGTACATTTGTTTTGCTTTATACATGTGATATATTTGTATTATATACACATATTATAATCATATGATCTGTATACTTTGTAGTAAACATTCATAGAAAATAAAATATTATATCTTTTGCTTAGTGACTACTACATTTTGGGCTGAATATCAGACAGCAGTAGCCAGTGAAGAAGGAATCCATAGAGTAATTTCTACTTCTTGCACATTTTAGTAGAGTATAGATTTAGGTGTGGCTAATACACTCATCACATTAAAATTCTGCTGTTCTTTTAAAGACTCAGCTTCTTCCTCAGAGAGGAAAATGTGATTTATGAATATAGAACTACCTTTATCTTTTTGGAGTTATCTTCTATCACTGCTGTATGCTTTTCATAGTAAAGAAAATAAACAGATTTTGTCAGAAGAAATGTTATATTAAACAAATATTGCTATTACCATTTCCCAGAGACAAGCATTTCCACAGGTAGAGTTTATATTTATTAGAATTACAATTTTTGTGGTTGTAAGAAAATATGCAGAGAAAATGGACATCAGAAATACATAGGAACTCAATATTTTTATTAAATTATATGTGCTTAAAATTGGTCTTGATAAGTAATTTTGTTTCAAAGGTTCATTAATTTTCAATATGATCAATTTATAAAATGGTCTTATGCCCCCTTTTCCCCCCTCAGGAAAATGATTTGAATGATATGCTAAAATCACTATACAGCCATCCTATACCAAAGGCAAACACTTCAGTCAGTTTGAATGTGGTAAGTATTACCTATATTTTTTTTAATTCTCATAACTGATTTTTAACCTTGTTCCTTCCAAATATTCTTAGGTCTCACTTCTCTTAAGCTAAACCCAGTAGTCACTGTATCCCTCCTTATTTTTTCAGACCATTATCTCCACTAAGAGCTCCTGCCATTGCCTTTAGAATAAAATACAAACTCCTCGGTTTGACATTTAAGAGCCCTTCATAATCTTGTTCCAGGCTCTCTTCCAGACTGATAGCACATTATTTCCTGTCACACTCTCTAAGATGCAGCCAAGTTGGCCAATGTAATGTTTACATGTCATTTCATTACCTGACTCTGTATTTATGCACAGGCTTGTACTTCTTCCCATCCTCCCAGTGCTGGAATTTTTTTCCTTCTCATCTTCACTACCTGGCATCCCCATCTCTTTTCAAAGCTCAGTTCACATTCTCCTTAAGGATTCCCATCTCTGTCCAATACCTATGTACTTATCTTGTATATATTGTTTATTTACTTATTTGTAAAAATATTGTCTCCTGCTAGGTGAATATAAGTTTCTCAAAGGCCAAGGCTCATTTATCTATTTGTATCCCCAACACTTAACACTAGGCCTGGAACACATAGAGTAGGTGCTTCTTAAATGCTTGTTTGATCTATTGGAACCATAGTAGGTTCACATTAAAACTTAAAACAAAAATGTCTATTTTGACACTTTTTCTCCCAAGAAAATCTTGGTGGTGGTCCTAAAGTATTCCTAGATGACAGTGCTAACAATTTTTTCACATCTTTTAACCATCATAATTTGCTATGTGAGTTAATCTGTTTTGGTGGTTGTTAAATCACATTACTGTTATTTTTGAAACATAAATTATCCAGTGGCCATTCTAGAAGCTCCTTTGTGACTCTTTTTTGTAAATTTGCCAGTTAGAATGAGCAAATTTGTGAGATCTGTGAGAACATTTTCCCATCTTGGAAAACTTAGCTTTATTTTAGGTCAGTGCACAGGAAAAATAGCAAAATAAAAATTAAATTTCCTACATTGAAAACAAAGCCTTTAAGTTTCACAAAGTTTGACAAAAATCAAGCTGTATGAAAATAAAGAAGAAGGATGGGAACTGGATCTATCATTTTTATTGTTATAGGAAATTCAGGTAAGGAAATTGTTTCCACCAATTCCGGTGACATCTTCTCCGTAACTTATAGTTTTAGGTAGTTGCCTAGAGCAGGAAGGGTTAAGTAACTTGTTAAGGGTCACACAGACACTAAGTATCAGAGATGGCACTTGAACCTAGGCCTTAGAGAGGTGCAGCATAGTATAATGGATAGAGAGCTAACCTCAAAACCATGAAGATTTGCATTTAAATTCCACCCCTTGCACATAACTGACTCTGATTCTGTGCAAGTCATTGAAGCTGTCAGTGTTTCAGGCAACTCTAAAATAGAGAAAAAATGATAACAGCAATGGAAGCCTGTGGTTGAGAGATTTATCTACTCTAGAAATATTGTGCAAAAACAAAGGAAAAAAAATATAAACATTTATAAAAACATGATTTGCGTTCTTTTCTGGGTTTATAACATAGAAGAGTTAAAAAAAATGAGAAAGGGAAAACATAAAAGATTCAATAAGGTTAACCTGTTTATATTCCTATATGGTAATATAATATTTGTAACTCTTAAGACCACAATGAACTAAAAAACAAAAAAACCACAAAGAACTCAAAGAACAATGGAAAAATCCATGGTGGACACAAGTAGGCTACAGAGATCACAGATCACAGACGCAAAATGCCAAAATCAAACTCACTAGACAACTGGTTAAGAGCTTTATTATTATAAGAGCAATTAGAAGGCATATACATAAACAGAGTGCATATATAAGGTGAATTTGATGGAATGATACCCCCAAAAAAACAAAAGAAGTTTTGCTGGGTAGATGATTCTTGGTTGTAATCCTAACTCCTTTGCCTTTTGGTATATTATTTCCCAAGCTCTCCAGTTCTTTAAAGTGAAAGCTGCTGAATCTTGTGTAATCCTGACTGTAGCTCCATGATACTTGAATTGCTTCTTTCTGGCTGCTTGCCTTATTTTCTTCTTGACCTGGGAGCTCTGGAATTTTGTTATGATGTTCTTGGAAGTTTTCATTTTAGGATCTCTTTCAGGTGGTGATTGATGGATTCTTTCAATTTCTGTTTTTCCCTCTGGTTCTAGTATATCAGAGTAGTTTTCCTTGATAATTTCTTGAAAGATGTTGTCCAGGCTGTTTTTTTTTTTAATTGTGGCTTTCAGGTTGTCCAATAATTCTTAAATTATCTCTCCTGGTTCTTTTTTCTAGGTTAATTCTTTTTCCAAAGAGGAATTTCACATTTTCTTCAATTTTTTTCATTATTTTGGCTTTTTTTTATTAATTTATTTTGATCAGCAATCACTTCCATAAGCTTTTGAGTTTTAAATTTTTCTCCCCCTCCATTCTCACCTCCCTCCCCAAGATGGCACGCAATCTGATATAGGGTATATGTATACATTCCTATTAAGCATATTTTCATATTAGTGAAGTAAGAATTAGAACCAGTAGGATGAACTACCAGGAAGAGGAAACAAAAGACAACAGACGAAAAGAAATAGGAAATAGTATGCTTTGATCTGCATTCAAACTCCATAGTTCTTTCTTCTTTGTGGATAGCATTTTCCATCACGAGGCCTTTGGAGATGTCTTAGATCCTTGTATTACTGAGAAGGGTTAAATTTATCAATATTAGTCATCGCACAATGTGGTTGTTATTGTGCACAATGTTCTCCTGGTTCTGCTCACTTCACTCAGCATCAGACCATACAAGTCTTCCAGGTTTTTCTGAAGTCAGCCTGTTCATCATTTCTTATAGCACAATAGTATTCCATTATATTCATATACCACAACTTATTCAGCCATTCCCCAAATGATGGACATCCTCTCAATTTCCAATTCTTGGCCACCACAAAAAGAGCTGCTATAAATATTTTTGTACATGTGGGTCCTTTCCCCATTTTTATGATCTCTTTGGGGTATAGCCCTAGAAGTGCTATTGCTGGGTCAAAAGGTATGCACATTTTTATAGCCCTTTGGGCATAGTTCCAAATTGCTCTCCAAAATGGTTGAATCATTTCACAACTCCACCAACAATGCATTAGTGTTCCAATTTTCCCATATTTTCTCCAACATTTATCATTTTCCTGTTTTATCATGTTGACCAATCTGATAGGTGTGATTTGGTACCTCAGAGTGATTTTGATTTGTAATTCTCTAATCAATAGTGATTAGAGCATTTTTTCATATGACTATAGATGGCTTTAATTTCTTCATCTGAGAACTACCTGTTCATATCCCTTGACCATTTATCAATTGGGGAATGACTTGCAGTCTTATAAATTTGACTTAATTCTCTATATATTTTAGAAATGAGGCCCTTATCAGAGAAACTGGTCATAAAAATTCTTTCCTAGTTTTCTACTTCCCTCCTAATCTTGGTTGCATTGGCTTTGTTTGTGCAAAAATTTCAATTTGATGTAATCAAAATTATCCATTCTGCATTTTCTAATGTTCTCTATCTCCTGTTTGGTCATGAATTCTTCTGTTCTCCATAAATCTGACAGGTAAACTATTCATTGCTCTCCTGGTTTGCTTATAGTATCAGCCTTTATATCTAAATCATGAACTCATTTTGACTTTGTTTTGGTATATGGTGCGAGATTTTGGTCTGTGCCTAGTTTCTGCCATATTCTTTTCCAGTTTTCCCAGCAGTTTTTGTAGAAGAGTGAGTTCTTATCCCAGAAGCTGGGGTCTTTGGGTTTATTAAATAAGAGATTACTATAGTCATTGACTGCTGTCGCTTGTATACCTAACCTATCCCACTGATCCATCACTCTATTTCTTAGCCAGTACCAAGCAGTTTTGATGATTGCTGCTTTATAATATAATTTAAGATCTGGTGTGGCTAGGCCACCTTCCCCTGCATTTCTTTTCCTTAGTTCCCTTGATATTCTGGACCTTTTGTTATTCCAAATGAATCTTGTTATTATTTTTTTTAGCTCTATAAAATAATTTTTGGTAGTCTGGTATGGCACTGAATAAAATAAATTAGCTTAGGTTGAATTGTCATTTTTGATATATTAACTTGGCCTACCCATGAGCAACTGATGTTTTTCCAATTATTTAGATCTGACTTTATTTGTGTGAAATGTTTTATAATTGTGTTCATATAGTTCCTCAGTTTGTTTTGGTAGGTAGAGTCCTAAATATTTTATAATGTCTACAGTAGCTTTAAATGGAATTTCTCTTTCTGTCTCTTGCTGTTGGGCTTTGTGGTAATATATAGAAATGCCGATGATTTATGTGAGTTTATTTTATAGCCTGCAACCTTGCTAAAGTTGTTCATTATTTCAAGTAGTTTTTTACTTAATTCTGTAGGAATTCTCTAAGTATATCATCATATCATCTGTAAAGAGTGATAGCTTTGTTTCTTCTTTACCTATTCTAATACCTTCCATTTCTTTTTCTTCTCTTATTGCTAACGGTAACGTTTCCCATACAATATTGAAAAACAGTGGTGATAATGGACATCTTTGTTTCACCCCTGATCTTGTTGGAAATGCTTCTAGCTTGTCCCTATTACATATGATGCTTGTTGAAGGTTTTAGGTAGATGCTACTTATTAATTTAAGGAAGACTGCATTTATTCCTATGCTCTCTAGTGTTTTTAGTAGGAATGGGTGTTGTATTTTGTCAAAAGCTTTTTCTGCATTCATTGAGATGACCATGTGGTTTCTGTTAGTTTTGTTGTTGATATGATCAATTATGCTGATAGTTATCCTAATATTGAACCAGCCCTGCATTCCTGGTATAAGTCCTTCCTGGTCACAGTGTATTATTCTTGTGATAAGTTGCTGTAATCTGTTTGCTAATATTTTATTTAAAATTTTTGCATCTATATTTATTAAGGAAATGGGTCTATAATTTTCTTTCTCTGTTTTGACTCTTC